CTGATGCGAGAGGTTCTACGGCATGCGTAATGAGAGGTACGCTTAGTGTACTGCGAGATTGGAAGCGGGGTGTGAGACCTCATACGCTGGGCGTACGGGGAGTATGTTGGGTGTACGAGGGTTGTGAGAAAACCCTAATTTTTAGGGTTGTACCCTATATAAGCATAATGTTAGCCTCTTTCCTTCATTTCTAAGTCAGCCCCACCTTCTAAAAACCCTAAATCGATCTTGTAGCCTCTTGATGGTGTTATTGAGCTCTTAGAAGGTTTTGTGCGCATTTTGCACTTGGGAAGGAAATAAGAGAAACTTGAAGTTGTTTGGCTTGGTGGAAAGACCTTGGATCCAGAATCATCACCTTATGGCGAATCTTTTTGAGGTATCAAGTTTATATCTTGACTTATGTGTGATTAGATCTCTTCATGGCTAGTTTATTGTGGTTTTGGTCTTCTTTTTGGGTTTATGGATGAGTTAGTTTGCTTATGGGTTTATCCATTCAGATCTAAGTTCATTTTCGTATCCTTTGGCATAAAGGTGCAAGCTTTATGTGTTTTATGGTGTCATGTATACATTAAGTCAATCATTAAGTCCCTTTTTAGCTTAAGAGCTTCATTTAGCCATGTATGGACATAAAGTTGGCAACTTTATGTTTTAGTCCAACTCAAGAAGGTCAGATATGTGTTGGGAGCTTTGTCTTAATGGATTAAGTGAGAAAATTAACTTGGGGTTGATTAAGTGAGTATGCTTGGCGTACAAGCAGATACGCGCAGTGTATAAGTCTCTAAGCGAGTTCGCCGCGCGTACATGCTTGTACGCCACGCGTACTCGGTCTGAGTGGGTTTGTGTATTTGGTCTTCGATTTGGCTACTTTTTTGGGCGTGGTTGCCTTGGGCTTTGTTGGGCCATCTGAGAAGGTGTGTTTTGGATTAGGGATAAATAATGGGCTTTAGGGTAAGGCCCAAGTAAGGGTTTGGGCTCAATTTGGAAAATTGTACAATAAATGGGCTTGGATAATTATAGGTTGGTGTGTTAAGGAGTTTGGGGCCTTAGTCTTGGACTAAACTAAGTGAGGGATAAAATGATCTTTTTACCCTATGAATGGATTATTGGATTAGGTTTGGACCCCAATTGTTAATTGGGTGTTATTTGTTCGATAGTGTTGGGATTTTAACGGATCTGCAGTCAGAGAGTATCCGTGAGATTCAGTTGTCCGAGGAGAGTCTTCTTACTATATCCATGGATCGAAGGCACCAATGTCGGCCCATTACGTGTTATATGGTATGCAAGTGTCTCTGTGATACTTGCATGGAAGACCCCAGGAGGAGCCCGTGACAATTGGATATCAAACCATGGGGGGAGCCCATGACATTCCAGGTAAAGACCATGGGGGAGCCCATGGAAACTATATGTATGTTGTACGATAATCTATGGTTGTATGTTGTATGGTATCTTAGGAAACTCATTAAGCGTTATGTATACGATTTTCAGTTTATCTTTCAGGTACTCCGGTTTTCAAATGGAATGGCTCAGGTTGATTGCAAAGCACATACCGCATGTTTCCGTATTCTGTTAATTACTCTGATTTTTCAATGTTTTGCTAAAACTTACTTACTCCGATTTTATGGGAAAAATATGTATTAACGATTTATTAATCTAAAAACAATTTTTTTATGTCTTGATTTTCGGGACGTTACATACAAAAAGATCTTTTATGACTATAGATGATTAGTTGTTTATTTCTGTCTCAAATTTTTGTGTTGTAATATTTAAAATTTTAAAAAAATGTTGAAGATTTGTTCGGAATTTATTTTTCTTATAATATTATTTATACTGTCAATGATATTAGGTTGCTGAAAATTTTTTTTTTTATATAATATTATTTGTGTTATTATGTTATAAAAACAATATTATTGTTGTTTTTTATCTTAATAAAAAATAAATTTAAAATTATTAATATTAATAAAGTTAGTAATAAAAATATAATTATTAAATAATAATAGTTTATTGACTAGGTTATAATGAAATAATAATAAAAATTAGTCAAATAAAAAATTATATGATAATAATGATTTAAAAAGTAAGGTCAATGATAATTATATAATAATAATAACCTACAAAATAAGCCTAATAGTGTATAATGGTATTGTAGGTTGGTATGTCCATATGGTCATCGGGTATGTGATAAGCCCCAAGTAATCCTAGAGGGATTTTAGTTGATCTGCTTTATAATTGTTATTCTGCTATCTTTTTGATTTTAGGGATAGAATTGTCGTTTTAGGAGTAGTGTTGTTATTGGTTGTTTTGTTTGTGGGAGCACTACATTGTCCTAGGTCTGTTTTGGGACCACTCTCCTGAGTCTTGTTTTCTATTTATTTGCTTCTTGAGGTTTTTGTTCAGCAGCCAAGAAATGATTTGTAAAGAACTTTGTTCTTTCTTGGAGATACTCACATCTCGGATGTTGGGAATCATCTTAATATCGTCACGTATTTCTGTTAGAGTAAGTGTTAAAATGTCTAGAGTATACAATAGATTCAACAAGGGCTATCAAATGGTATCAGAGTTGTTGATGCTGGGAAGAAATGATAGCAATGAGGATAATCCAAACCAGACCTAAGACAATGTCAGTGCTTCTACAAACAAAACAACCAATAACCATAACTCCTAAAAGAACCATTCAATCCCTAAAATCAAAAAAGATAGCAGCATAACAATTATAAAGATAGTATACTCACATGTTGTCACCGTCAATCAGATTTGTTTCTTTCAAAACGCTCAAAAGCAAACAAAATGAATTCTCCAATCTTGTTTTTGTTTTTGATTGAAGTTATAATTATGGTCCCCGATATTATGTCTTTTAATCCCATTACACCCTCCCATTCATTAAGTTAAACCCTCAACTATATATAATTATATATGTTTTTTTAATTTTAAAAAGTAGTAATATGTTTATTTAAATTTTTATTAATAAAATGATTATATATTATTTAAATTTTTATTAATAAAATGATTATTTGAGTTTAAAATTATGTTTTTTATTTAATCTAATGTTAAAAAAAAAAAAAATAAATAAAAATAAAAAATGGAGTGTTAACCATTTCCAAATGATAGTAGTGTGGTAGTGAATACTTAGTGAAGATGTCACGAATTCTAATGAAAATATAATGAAAATATAATGATCATACCCAATGGCATAATAGGACCCTGATTTTTATGATCTAATCAAAATCTATAGTTTATAGTCATGATCAAAACCTATATTTTATAGTTCATGACTTGAAAATTATCGTAACTTGTTTGCAAGTGCAAACTTTCATGATCATGTCGTGATAAGCATACATGCCAACATTTCCAAAGTAGAGAACTATAAAACAAGATTTAAAAAATATATCAAAATATTCTATGAATCCAAATAACAATGCAACCTTATATTTACTTTTAAGAGCTTCAATTACTGAAGATACGTATAACAAGATTTATATTTATATATGGGTAAAACAAACTAAAACGATAATGGTTGTTTGATATGCCTCTTATTGGGTTTGACTTGGATTCATTCAGATTAAGACTTTTTATGACCACAATTAGCTGTCTCTTACTGGATCTGAGAAGAAGTTGGATCTGACTCAATCACAGTTAGATCGACTCATTTGACTCAATCGACAACTATCAAAGAGCCCCAAATGACAAACATTTCTGTCAAACAAGAAATAAAACTTGTACCTTTTGATACAGATCAATGAATAAGAGATCAAAATAAACATCACTGAATATTGAATACAAAATCATTGGTACCAAATAAATAAACCACAAGGTTCTTCCTTTACTTTTTTATTGTTGGAACTTTATACATAAAAAAATTGCAAGTTGGTAATTTCCTTTGTATCCCACATTGGTGGGGGGAAGAAACTTTTGTGGGTTTATAAGCCTATTTCCTTGGTAAGCCTTCAAAGGCTTTAGTGGATCAAAGGAATGGGCCAAACCCATGCGTGCGCCTAGCCTAGCAGGCGCCGCGAGTACGCGATTTAGGCGCACTTTGCACGACGCATCGATCACTGGGAGCTGAGGATCTTTTATTTTTGACGAGTTCGAATCAAGCCGGTTTGACCGATCCGGTCAAATGGTTGACCGCCGTTGACTTCGTGGAGGCCAAGTCAGGGTATTCTAGAAGGATCAGGAAACGATTTGCTTGGAGAGCAAGCTGTCGCCTTAGGTTTTCTGGGGCCAGCCTATGGGGGTCCGTTTGATGCTTTCTAGGGTTACGATACCTATAAATACAGCTCCCTAGGAGCCGCATGAACTCCTCTCGAAATCTGAAAGCTTCCTCCCTCTCTCTGCGTTTTTCCCTAGTTTCCAAGTGGTCGCTTTGTGTTTGTCGATTTCCAGTGTTGTTGGAATATCGATAAAGCTGCATTAAATGCAGGGGTTTTACTCTGTTGCTTACAGCCAGTACAAGCGAAGTAAAAACCTTTAAGGACAGGAGTCTGATCCGTTCAGTTGCATCAAGATCAAGATCAGCAATCAACAGGTCGGTTTTACTTTTCTGTCTTGTGTTTAATTCGTCCAATAACAGGACAGTTTTCTTCTACCTTTCTTATACCTAATCGAGAAGGATAGATCTGGTTTCTGGACGAAACTCGATAAATATAATAATAATTGGATCTATTATTCGCAACTAATCGACATATAATTCTCAATATTATTTGTCGATTTCCTTACGCGTCTAATAATAATTGGATCTATTATTCGTAACTAATCGACTCATTTGACTCAACCGACAACTATCAAAGAGCCCCAAATGACAAACATTTCTGTCAAACAAGAAATTAAACTTGTACCTTTTGATACAGATCAATGAATAAGAGATCAAAATAAACATCACTGAATACAAAATCATTGGTAGCAAATAAATAAACCACAAGGTTCTTCCTTTACCTTTTATTACCCTTTTTAATCTGGGAACTCTATATGTTATTTAATTAGCAAAAAAATGTAACGAAAAACAATTAGTACATACCTCTCCATGAATGCCACTTCAATTTCAACTGAAACAACAATGGAGGAACACCCAAAATCCCCCGATTTAGCCTCGGGTCAAACACATCAAACCCAACTCGACTCAAAGAATCCAAAACCACTTGTGAAGGGACAGCTGGCAGAAGTATTGACCTAGCTTCTTTAGGCACTGATTCAGTCAAAACACGAGCTTTCTGCAAATGGGCATTAGCCATGGATGCCATATCAAAAACCGCATCACTCAATTTCTCACGTGAATCAGTTCTTATTTCCACCCTATCTCCATTTTTCACTAACAACCCATGTTTTTCAGCCACCTTTAATGGTATATAAGAAAAGCTATGGTTCCTGTTAGCATGATAGGGAAGAGACTTTATCAGCAAAAGAAGACCACTTGCTTTTCCTATATGTGAAGCTGCATGATCTGCAGTTGTTGATGTTATTCCTCCTGCTTGAAGAGTTGTATACAGAAGAGTTGATGAAGTATCTTCAGCATATTTCTCTAACTCTTCAATTGTTTGATAGATGTCATCAACATCCCTTTGGGCATCGTTTATACGAGCTTCAACAGATCGCTTCAACCAGTTTTTGCTGATTTTTTGTTCAGATAGTACAGATGCGAGAGCTTGAGCAGTTGGGTGTTCGATGGTTTTGTTCTTGAAGATCTTCTCAATGGCATCTTGCCACCATAGAAGACGCATTAAGCCAATTTTCGGGTCTGAAGCAACATCCATTGCTCTTGATGTTTCGACATTGAAGGCCCGAAGAGCAAAAGCAGCTCTTCGCATGGTGGTTGGGAGTTCAAGAAGACAGAGGTAGTGATGATAATCATAGTTGCGAACTTGTTGTACACAGTATGAGAAGGCTGACTTTAAGCTGCTAGATGTGGTAGCACCATTCATTCAAGCTTGATGATCTTTATCAGCTGGAAGCGTGTAATTTGATTAGATTCAAGTAGTAATCTCAAATGCACAAATGATATAGATTAGATTTGGAAAGAAGGATAAAGTGGCTGATAGTTTTGATATTACAAGATCGCTAAAGATACCAAGTATTCAAAACCCTAAACCCCCAAATTCATAAACCTCTTCGAATCACAGCTCTAAAATACAATTGCTAACACGACGCACGTGTGAATAGATGAATCAGATGGAGGATGATTAAAAGTATACCTGATAAGTTATCAGTGATAGAGATTATCGGAAGTGCACGGTGGTTACCGGTGATGATTCACACGCCGCCGAGATATGTTAAACGTCCAAAGGGCATGTGAGCCGTGTGGTGGCCGAACGACCCTAAATTGGTCCGCCACGTCGTTAAAGAACAGTTACGTTCGAATCCTTTCAGGTTTTGAATATATGCACTTGAACACTTTAAGTTTGAGATATGTACATTTAAACCTCAACACTTGCATTTTAGGTTGATGATATATATATATATATATATATATATATATATATATATATATATATATATATATATATATATATATATATATATATATATATATATATATATATATATAGTATTATGGAGTTAGCTACCTAAGCTTATATAAGGTTGTTAGGTATATTCACTTTACCCATATATATATATATATATATATATATATATATATATATATATATATATATATATATATATATATATATATATATATATATATATATAGGGAAAGAATCAAATGAAAACACTTAAAAGGTTGAGAACGCGAGAACAAGTATATTTATTCTTGATTATTAACTCTCCTTATGTATTGCATTTTAATCTTGGACTCGGCGAGTTGAAGGACTAACTCACCGAGTAGAAGCAGGAATAGACACGGGATCAGCTCTGTCTACTCGGCGAGTAGGCCCGTGGGACTCGGCGAGTAGACCCTGTCTGGACTAAAACCCTAACCCGGGTGTTTGCACCCTATTTAAACGATCTAACCCATCCTCCATTTCCCCTAGCACACCCAGAGGTCTGTAGAACGAAACCCTAGCCCTTTGTGTCCTTGTGGGTGATCTTTTTAGCATTGTGAAGGTGGTTTGGAGCTTGGGAGAAGAAGGAGAAGGTTGAGGAGTACAAGAAGAGAAGAAGATCCGGAATCTACTCTGTGAGGGGCTTCTATTCAGGTAGAAAAGTTCCTACCTTGATCTTTAGTTCATTGAACCCCCTTCTTGTCCCTAAAAAGAGGTTTTAAGCCCTAAGAACCTAAATCTCTATATGTTTATGGTTAATGTTCTGCAAGGAATTCGGATTTGGACCTTTAGGACATCCTAGTAGCATAAAGTCTTTGTGGTTGAGGTGATTGAGGTCCCATGTTAGATAGATTCTGATATTGTGATACATGTTATGTGGTAGTAGTAGAGGGGAGAAATAGTTTCCCCAGTATCCGGTCGAGAGGACCGAAGGGGAGGCCAGCACCCAGATATGCTAGCCAGTATCCAGTCGAGAGGACCGAAGGGGAGGCCAACACCCAGATATGTTGGGCAGTATCCGGTCGAGAGGACCGAATGGGAGGCCAGCACCTAGATATGCTAGACAGTATCCGGTCGAGAGGACCGAAGGGGAGGCCAGCACCCAGATATGCTAGGTAGTATCCGGTCGAGAGGACCGAAGGGGTAGGTCGGGCATCCAGATATGGCTGACAAATTATGTATGTTATGTGATTATATGGTATGTGGTACAGTGGGGGAACTCACTAAGCTTCGTGCTTACAGTTTTCAGTTTTGGTTTCAGGTACCTCTTTAGCTAAGGGGAAGGAGCCGACGCGGTAGCAGCATATCACACACACTCTTGTTTCCGCAGTTATGAGTTTATTCTGGGATTGATACACTGATATTTTGGTTGATTACATGTTGTGGATTTCAAATCTGGGTTTTCGATGTGAAATAGTTTAATTAAACAATGTTTTAATTGTTAGTGTTTTCTAAGTAAAGTTTTAAAAACGAAATTTCTGGACGTGAAAATTGGGTCGTTAAAAGTTGGTATCAGAGCCCTGGTTTGAGGGATTCGGACACACCTTCGGGGGTGTTTGAACTCAAATCAAGGGATTAAAAGATTTTGGAAAGAGAAAATGTTTTCTAAAAGGCTAAGTAAAGGGTTTTACGAAAGAACAAAGTGTGTGATGTGCGCGACCGGCCGAGCTCAAGTAAGTATTCCCCAATGTACCCATACAAGTTTATTTATGTTATCAGTTTCTGTAGAACAACATTCTAGAATAGGACTAAGGATCTAGGAGTGATGCCTTATGTGCCTGCTTTATGTGCTTCAGTATATGAAAGAGTTACATGCCAGAGTTGAGCAGACAGCAGTAGGGTAGCCTGTTTAGTTTATTCCTGATAGTACGAGTTTAGCATTGTATGCTAGTTTAGTTTTCTCTACGAGGATAGAGTTGCTTGAGATTGCTTTCCTTATATCCAAATGTTGTTTGCTTTGTGCTATGTGGGCTTTGAAGTGATGGGAGTTAACTGTTTGGTGAATACGTTAAAGTCACATGTGATCAGGGTTGAATAATCTCATAGTGTTGGATTTGACTCTATTGCGTAGCTCTTGTTTGAGTCCTAACCGTTGTAGAGATGAGTCCATTACTCGAAGGATTATCCGAGCCTTATCACATGTGATTGTATTCAGGTAATAGTTAATTGGCATCACCAAGAGGCCTTCAGCAGCTGAGGACTGGGTTGGTTGGAGTCAGAGGTTTCCTAGGGTAAGCCTAGGATAAAGAGTAGCAGTGATCAGCGGTAGTGGAAGGGACCTGATTGAGTCGAGGCGGTCTTTGGGGAAGGTATGGATAGATGTGGAAGGTAGTATGGGCCCGTACTACTGAAAGCAGAGGATCCGTACCCGAACCGAGGAAGGCTAAGATAAGACTAGGGAACTTGTAGTGGGTGGGATCCCTCCAGGGGTATCAGTATCGCTAACAGTTGTTATTTCTTTGTATTTCAGAATGGTGGTACTACGCCCGAGGCCAGTAGTTGGCAGTTCAAGAGAGGGATCGGGTTCGGGTTCGGGATCAGGTTCCGAGCCAGGAGATGAGAGGCTGCACGAGTTCATCGCGTCTGAGATCACCAGAGGTATCCTTGAGTCGACCCCCATTATCTTCGGGTCGATCAAGGAGGGGATATTGGAGATGATGGAGGATCGCCTCCGGGCATTCAGGAGTGACATGGCATCTGGCCAGTTGGGATCTCGCACACTGTCCTTCAAGGACTTTCGGGGCAGTGGTGCACCGGACTTTCATGGGGCGAAGGACCCCATAGCTGCCAGACGATGGATTGCAGACATCGAGTCTGCACAGTTGACTAGTTTCTGCCCCGAGGGGTCGAAGGTGAGGTATGCGGCAGGGTGCTTACGAGATCGAGCTCAAGACTGGTGGGAGTTAGTGGGCGACTCGTTGGGAGCCTCAGCGATCGAGGCTATGACCTGGTCAGATTTTGTGACCAAATTCAGGGCAAAGTTTGCGCTGGCTGTCGAGCTTCAGCAGCTGGCCAGGGAGCTTTTGGACATGAGACAGACGACGGAGACTATGGCGGAGATCACTGCCAAGTTCCGGGAGAGGGCACTGCTGGTGCCCCAGTACGCGGGTGACGAGGACATGAGGAGGACCCGCTATCATGATATGTTCCGGGCTGATATCCGGGAGCACGTTAGTTTTTCAGCTTGTCCTACCCTGGACTCCATGAATGCCAGGGCGAGGGAGAGGGAGATAGATTTGGAGCACATCCAAAAACGGAAGGCGGAAGAGGGACAGTCAGGAGGGGCTTCGAGGAAGAAGCCCAAGGGATCAGATGTGGGGCCGAAAGGCCAACAGGGATGGGGTCGCTGCAGGAAATGCGGCAAGACGCACGAGGGGGCGTGCAGGTCGGGATCATCAGGCTGCTATAAGTGCGGCAAGCCTGGGCACTTTAGCAGAGATTGCACTGCTTCAGCAGCAATTATTCAAACGTCTGCGTTGTTGTGCTTCCACAGCAACCAGAGGGGCCACAAGAAGGCCAATTGCCCCCAGTTGACAGTTCCAGCACCGGTAAAGGCGCCAGCTCCAGCGACCCTGCGGATCACGGATGGCCGGCAGGGCAAGGCAGAGACTCCAGTGGTGAGGAGCCGGGCATTTCAGCTGACCACCGAGGAGGCACGCTGCACCCGATGTGGTGACGGGTATGATTCGTTCCTTCTCATTCATTTTTATGATGTTATGATATTGATATGTGCTCGGTTTATATATATATATATATATGTGTGTGTGTGTGTGTGTGTTAGGATCGTTCCATGTGAACGATATCCCAGTCCAGGTGTTGTTCGACTCGGGTGCTACCCGATCGTTTGTTTCCCTTACACTTAGCAAGAAGTTCACTGAGTCTTCGGGCATGTTGGATTGCCCTTTAGAGGTAGAGATTGCCGATGATCGATCGGTGCGAGCATCAGTAGTGTTGAAGGATTGTGTTTTGAGGTTATTTGATGAGTGTTATCTGGTGGACTTGGTTCCCATTCCGTTGCGTGGGAACAAGGTGATTATAGGCATGGATTGGTTGAGCCCCAATGGGGCGGTGATAGATTGCGCACAACAGCTAGTGTGGGTCAGGACCCCAAGTGGGGGAGAGTTAGTGATTCATGGCGAGAGGCCACCGTGTGGACCCTCGATCTGTTCAGCAGCGAGGGCTAGACGATACCTCCAGCAGGGATGCGCAGGTTATGTCGTGTATGTGATGGATACCCGGGAGACGGGTAAGGTGACGATGAGCGAGGTTCCGGTGGTGCGAGATTTCGCAGATGTTTTTTCAGAGGAGCTTCCTGGGATACCTCTGGAGCGACAGGTAGAGTTCAAGATTGACCTCGTCCCTAGTGCGGCTCCAATAGCCAAGGCACCGTATTGGTTGGCTCCTCCTGAGATGCAGGAGTTGTCTACGCAGCTACAAGA